AATAATAAATGTAAATTCTATTATAAATAGTTAACAAATTAGTTACAAGCTACCACTAAAAAATAAATACAAAATCATTTAAGGATTAAAAATTATCTACATAATATTAAAGGACATCAATGAGAAAGACGTTGAGTCTCAATTTCTTTTTTCAGTGTTCTGTAATTTTCATCATTGAGGTCTTTCATCTTCTTAGTTAGGGGTATTCCAAGGTATTTTGTTTTACTAATTTATTTATTTTAGGCTATTGTGAATGGAACCATTTTCTGATTTTCTTCTCAGTGGGTCTTTAGAAAGTATTATTAAACACAAAAAGGCAAGCGTGAAGAATGTAGGGAATAAAGCATAAAATGCAAAGAGAAAAGAAGTAGCAAAATGGCAGAAATTATTCTTTACTATTTCTTACATCAAATGTAAATAGGTTGAAATTTCTTATTAAAAGGAGTAAGTCATCGGAAATATAACTACATGCTATGAACAAGAGAACCACACTTTGATTCAAAGACACAAACTTAATGAAAGGGAAAACATGGAAAAAAGGTTTTCCATATGGACATAAGCTAAAATAGACTTAGAATTCTAGATTAAATATAAGTGAAAATCATGTCAAAATAAAAATTTTTACAAGAAAAAGTTCTACATAGAAAGAGATCAATTGAAGTTTAGGGTATAATTTAGTGGTAAAGGGCTTACCTAGCAAGCACAAGGCCTCGAGTTAAATCTCCAGCACTGTCAAAAACCAAAAATTCAATTGATTGAAAATATGTAGCAATTGCAAATATATACTGGTATAATTTAGGAAAATGTCTGTCAAAGGTCTGCATTTAAAGATGTGGCTGCCAGGGCTGGGGTTGTGGCTCAGCGGTAGAGCACTCACCTAGCACATGCAAGGCCCTGGGTTCAATCCTCAGCACACATAAAAATAAGTAAATAAAATAAAGGCATTGTGTCCAACTTACACCTAAAAAATAAATATTTTTTTAAAAAACTAAATTCAGGTATTGTGTCTAACTACGACTAAAAAATAAATATTAAAAAAAAAATGTCGCTGCCACCCTTTGACACAATTGGCAGATAATAGAAGCTTTAAGAGACAGGGTCTAAGAGAGAGAAAGTTAGGTTACTGAGATGTGCCCCTTAAGGCCATATTGGGACTTAGCCCCTTCCTCCTTCTCTGTTTCCCAGCTGTCCAGACATAAGAAAAGACTCTTATGCAATTTGTTCCCCACCATAACATTCTTCAGTACATAGTAAAGGGAGCTTTCCAGCTTACTAGCACATATACATACTTAACAGAAAACTGTAATAAGCAAAAAAAAATTACAGATAAAGGCAAAGTGTTAATAATTTCACAATATGTATATATTTTAATGACTGAATAACTAAAAACCACACCATTAAGGAATCAAAGGACTTGAACAACACTATAAAAAAATTAGACCAAACCTAACACATAAACACAAAATTCCATGCAGCAAAATACACATTTTTTTTCAAGAGTACACTGAATGGGACTCACAGCTGTGAATCTTTCTACAGATGCCAAGACACAGAAAATGTGGTATATATATACACAGTGGAATTTTATTTAGCTATATAAAAAGGATGAAATTATGGCATTTGCTGGTAAATGGATGGAAACAGAGAACATATAATACTAAATGAAATAAGACAGACTCAAAAACTCAAGGATTGAATATTTAGTCTCATATTCATTTTTTTTAAAGAGAGAGTGAGAAGAGAGAGGGGAGAGAGAGAGAGAGAGAGAGAGAATTTCCAACATTTAGTTTTTAGTTCTCGGTGGACACAACATCTTTGTTGATATGTGGTACTGAGGATCGAACCCAGGCCGCACGCATGCCAGGCGATCGCGCTACCGCTTGAGCCACATCCCCAGCCCGTTTAGTCTCATATTCAGAAGCTTGACCAAAATAAGGGGGTAAAGGGGAGGGGAATCCCATGAAAATAGAAAGGTAGAATAGAAGTAGGAGATTGAGAGAAAGGAAGGAAGGACAGGAAAAGGGTAGAATGAAAGTGATCAAATTATGCACATATGAATGTACCACAATAAATTAGGGCCTGGTGGCACATACCTGTAATCCCAATGATCAGGAGGCTGAGGCAGGAGGAACCCAAGTTCAAGGCCAGCCTGGGCCATTTAGCAAGACCCTGTCTCTCAAAATTTGAAAATAAAAAAAAGGGCTGGGGATATATCTATGGTGTAAACTGCCCTTGGGTTCAATCCTAAGTAACAAAAAATGAGATATAAAATTAAAATCCAATTAAATTTTAAAATTAAATTTAAAGTGTTATAATAGAATGCCATAAATGAATTAAAATAAAAATATACAATATTATCACCAGTAAAGACAGCTTTGTTTATTCCTATTATCATGGCATATTTTTTTAATCTATTGCATGGAGTAGCACTATGAAGAACAATATGAACACAAATAATGAGATAGCTCATCTTTGTTCTGTTCTCACACTTAGAAATTCCTTTTAAAAAAACACATTGTGGGGCTGGGGTTGTAGCTGAGTGGTATAGCACTTGCTTAGCATGTGTGAGACACGGGGTTCGAGCCTCAGCACCACATAAAAACAATAAACTAAAGGTACTGTGTCCATTTACAACATTATATAACACATTGGGTTGTACTTTTTTGGTTTTGGGTACTAGGGATTGAACTCAGGGACACTTGAACACTGAGCCACATTCCCAGTCCTGTTTTGTATTTTATATAGAGACAGGGTCTCACTCTATGCTTAGCACCTTGCTCTTGCTAAAGCTGGCTTTGAACTTGAGATCCTCCTGCCTTAATCTCCAGAGCCCCTGGGAGTATAGGCATGCGTCACCACACCCAGCCATGGGTTGTACATTTTTATGCCTGGCAATTTATAGCATAAACTTCATAGTCAACATATGTTTCTTGGATTGGAAAAGCAGCTATGATACCACAAATCTATTTATATACTATTATGAACAGATATACAAATTACAGCTTTGTAACATGTTTATTAGATTAAAACCATGTACCAATGGTGGGCACACTGGCACACACCTGTAATCACAGCCACTTGGGAATTTGCAATAGGATTATTAAGTCTATAACACTCCAAGATTGTTAAGTTCTATAAAAGCTTGGACAATTTGTCAATCTCCTGTCTCAAAATAGAATTAGACAATTAGAGATGTAGCTCAGTGGTAGAAAAACCCTGGATTCAACTCCAACTACTAAAAAAAAAAAAAACAAAAACATATTTCAATGCTTCTCCTATTCATATCTACCCTAAAACTTTTTTTAAGTGATGAAAGGCTAGAGCACCTTTCACCATGTGATATGAGCTTTTACTCTTAGAACTTACAATTCTTATTCTTCACAATATTTTGTTAATTATCATACTTGTTTCTGGAGAAATAAATACATATATTAAAGTATACTACAAATATAAAAGAAAAACCTAAACTAGCCATTTGAAAAAAAAATGACAATAAATTTTTCAAAAGAAAAATAACACAGCCAGATACAGAGGTACATGCCTATATTGTCAGTGACTTGGGAGGCTGGAAAAGTGTGACCACACATTGAAGGCCACCAACCTAGCAAGACCTTTTCTCAAAATAAAAAAATAAAAAGGTCTGTGGTGTAGCTAATTGGTAGATAGCATCTCCTGGATTCAGTACCAGGTAGGCAAATGTTTCAGATAATATAAAATATTTATAACCATGGCAAGAAACAAACTATTTGTTCTACTGATGCTAACTTCAACTTCAAAAACAAATAGTGATTCTGTATATAAAATTCCAGTATATCATCACTGGACAATTAAACTTATTTCAGAACGATGAAGTGCTTCATGCATGATTCTTTGTCATTTAAAATCTTCATGGCTTTAAAAAAAACTTATAAAACTTGATATATAATTTTCCAGATCAAAAAGTGTAAGAATAGATGCCCTTCAACAGACGAATGGATAAAAAAAAATTTGGCATTTATACACAATAGAATATTACTCTGCATTAAAAAATGACAAAATCATAGAATTTGGAGGGAAGTGGATGGCATTAGAGCAGATTATGCTAAGTGAAGCTAGCCAAGCCCTAAAAAACAAATGCCAAATGTCTTCTTTGATATAAGGAGAGTAA